GAAAGATAAACCGTTTCGTTTTCGCTACTGTTCCTGCTTGGCGGATTGTTCGGTGATAAAAAATGAAAATAGAATAGAAAGCCTGCCTTTCGTTAAGCTGAAAGAACCTTAACTTAATTTGAAAGAATTACATATAAATAATTTGCAAAGTACCAGCAAGTATTTAAGCTTGCGTGAAACTCATTTTCCATTCGGGTTTTGTAAGGGTTTGAGATGTGTTTGTCTATTTTTTGTAACTGCTGCAAAGTTGTTGGGTATAAAACCGAGCTTAATATCCATTAGCTTGATATTCAGAAAGTTTATCTGATTTATGGCTTTTTTAGTTAGTCTGACTGGTTATCCCTCGCTTTAAAATTGCGGGTGGGTTCCTAAAGTCGCTTAATTTTATCGTTATAAAGGCGAAAAAAAAAAAGTTTCTTGAAATCATATTCGATACGGCGCTTGTACTTGGCCAAATACATGCCCGTGCACCAGCAACAGCTTGCTTGCCTTTTTCCATGCACGATGTAAGCGCTGTGTGGCTTAATTATATCCCATTAGGTAATATAAATATCAGATAACAAATAAAAGCACTATAGTGGAACACGAGCTACCACTATAGCGGAACACGAGCCTACGCTACGTTATTTGTACAACGATTTTTCAAAATAACTTGTTATATCGGACGCATGCATCGGTGCATAAAATTCTATGAAAAGACTTCGGCCCAATGGTGAAACGGACAGACGGACAGACCAGTTTGGATACATTCCGGGAGTGACCCTCATTCAGAAAGTGATTCTGAATCGTTGGTATAATTAATGGAGGATCTATATCAAATCATTCTGGTTGTTACTCACACACACGCAAAAACTTATTATATACAACTTGCTATATATTAATAATATATACACATATACTTCACTCTTTTTTTTTGCCTTCTTTTGAGAGTTTACGCTTACAAATTGGTGTAACTGGGTTAACAGCGGGTGCACAAGTTATTATTCCTTCCATGTTAATGCTGCTTGGTTTGATTTTCCATTACTTTTCTGCATTTCTTTTAAAAAACTTAGTGTAAAGCAGAGCGAGTTGAATAACGGCATTTATTGAGAATAAGCATTATAGTTATTTAGGTTTGTGGATGCCAGTACTATTCCTTATTCTGTAAATCTGCTGGTACTAGCAAAGCTGTGCGCTTGTACATGCAAGTACTGCTTTAACCCAATGCCATCTCGATTGCATTCTTCTTTGCCGCACTACTGAGCTTTTCATTACTGTAAGCTTGGGTGTGACTAATGTGACAGTATATTGGTTACAAATCTTATATTTGGCCTGATGATCAGAATATCGGGAGAGAGGTAGCCCCCTTTAACGAAACGATTATATGTGAACAGTGGGTAATTCACACATTGAGACTCACATAGATCTCATCGCTCCTCAAAACGCTACAGATAACGTTATACGATATGTTCCAATCGTTTCTTTGCACGACTTACTTCACACTTTATGTGCGATGAATTTAGTACGCAAGACAAAGTTTGTAGATATGTTAATGAATAAAATTCAATTATAAATAAGAAAAAACTTTCTGTGATATACGTTATATCAACTACCGTTAAGCTTTGTTCATTCCATGCATATTCCTGCAACGTCATACAAATGAATTGAAAAACTCAGCATACCAATGCGGGGTTGAAAGGTATCAAAAAACAAGAATAATAACTATTGCCAAGTATCGAATGCCGAAAAGAAGTTGAAGGCGGCTTATAACTATTTCAGTGTTTGTAACTATGCGGTGTGCTCTGTGCATGTGCATGTGAACTTTACTATCGTATTCCATGTTAAACGGAAGTTGTACCGCATGCAGTCAAACACATACGAGACCACGCACACAAATATAACCATTACCAGAGAACGAGTGTCGGCTGAGAAATAAAAAGAAAACAGTGAGAAAGAAAAATAAAATCTTGTAGTTTTGCAAACAAAAACTGGTAGAGCTTGGGCTTGTTAAGAACGCCTTACATACGCCGTCAATGTAATATAAAATCATAAGTGTTTATATGCATGCATGTATGTTACGTACAGTCGTGTGCTTACGCTTAGGGCAACCAGCTTTTTTGTTGTTCATCAAAATTTGTTTTATTCTTTCTTTTATTTTATTTTCTTTTATTCCATATTCCTTTTCTTTATCTTAAGTCCTCTTTGCTACTACTATACATGTAAGTTGTTGTTGTCTTGCAAAAAGCAAATGAAGGCAGAAAAAGTTGTACTTATGTTAAACATTTTTATAACATGTTCTGAAATTTCAGATTAACTTACCATGACTTTGTCGTCATTGTGTTGTGTTTTTTTTTTTTGTTTTTTTTTTTTGTTCATATATACATACAGGCAACCACATGCATTTATACGTAGCCAAATGCAAAAAGAAACCCATATACGCCATACATGTTATGTGCAGATGGAAGCGAAAGAGAAGAGAAACGAAAAAAGAAAATTAAAGAAAATAAAAAAGTCCTTTACAAGTTTTCGGGGTTCTTCGAGAGAAAAGTGTGAACTTATTTCATTCTTTTTCCTTTCTTTTTTTTTTGTTTTTTTTTTTTTTGCTTTTTGAAAAGATTTCGTATATGCGATGGGTCTGTATTACACGTACGTATATTACTGACGACTTTGCATTTCCGGTATATTCTTATGCCTTCTTCAGGTTCATTTCTTGTCGGTGGTGACTGGTGGCTGGTGGCTGATGCAGCTTTTGAATTTTAACAATTGCATGGATGTGTACCAACAGCGACCGACTGCCCGCCTTCGCAGTCAATCTCAGTGTTAAACAAAATTGAGTTAAGTTGAGGCATGTAGTTGAGGGTGTTTACAGCATGTAGTAAAACACTTGTAGTGTTATACTAACAATCATTTCTCTTTTTTTTGTTGTTGGCATCACTTATGTATGTAAGTAATCAAACACATACATTTATGCGTACTCGTATGTTGAGAATTTCATATATATATTTATATGTGTATATATGTATAATTAATATATATATATATATATTTATATATATTTGTAAATTAAGTTGTAAACGCTGGAAGTTGTTTATGAGGGATTGGTACTGCCGCCGCTGCTGGTGCACGTTAAACTTCTTAATTAAAAATTATTGTTGACACTTATATACACATACAAACATAATATAATAGCTTGACAGTTGTGTGTGTTTAGTTCAAGAATACATAAATATTTATTTAAATTTAGACTATAGATGCAAACACGCACACACACACACATCTATGTATATACATATGCATTTGCAAACCATCAGTTAAGTATAAAGTTTTGAGATTTTCAACGAGAGAGTGGCTTGAGACTGAGTGTCGCTTAATACGGGTGATATTGTTAATTTAGTTTTAAAACATTCTTTTGCATAACAAATTTCTAAGCATAACCACACAAACACACACACACACATACATATACATATATATAAATATATATATATAAGTATTTATATATAAGTATATATATATATATATGTATACACACACAACCATTTATTCAAATTTTCAACAGAAACATGCATATGCATGTCTTTGAGTTTTAACATTCAAATTAAAAACGTCTCATTTACATTGTTTGTCATTGTGAATTGCTTTTGATGGAATTTTTATGAACACATTAACAAATCTGAATAAATGTAAGAGACAAAGAGGGCGATGCAGATGTTGGCAGAGAGCGAGGGACAGAGAAAAACAAAGAAAAAAACCTATTTAATTTTATATATACATATATATATATATATATATATATATGTATGTATGTATATATGCATATTTATATATATTTGTAAATGCTTGCATATAGTCAAGGAATAAGATTCCTTTACCATGATATATATGCAAATTTATTACGAATGTTAGAAATTTGCACTAACGGAAAATTCGAAAGGTAATTTATTCGAATTTCGTTGTGAATTCTTAATTTTTATATTAATTTCTGTGTTCCGACATAAATAGCCATTTTCGTTTAAAATTTTCTTCATTCTTTTTATTTTTTTTTTATTCAATTCTCTTATAACGTTTAGCTTAAGTCGGATGTGGAACATATTATTAATAATTTGCAATACTCATACGTACCGGTTCACGTTCATATAGAACAAAAAAAAAAAAACATTAATGATAAGAGGAATCATTGTAAGCTGTTTAAAAATTTGTTTTTTAGTTGAGGTAAGGGATATTTTGAAGCTTCTAGAATATGTGAAAAAAAATTCATTAACTGCAAAAAATATTTTTAGATAAATTTTTCTACTCTTTCGCAGGTGTTTCGAAAATATTGTCTTGTTCTTCTTCTTCACGTTCTATTATTCAGCAAAGTAACAATCGAAAATTCGCTGGAATGTGTTAAAAAAGGCCTTATGTGAACAAAGAGTTCTTTGTTTGGACCTTAGTAATGGTGGGGTTTAGATTTGCTATATGACGTTATTATCTGTTTATTTTATTGATTGTTTGATTAACGATTTGTTTTTTTAATTTGGCCTGTTATACGTCTGTCACGTTAGTTTTTTTTATCGTTTTTATCAAATAACGCATATAACTCGTCCGTCACGTAGGATAGAACAAAAGTGCGAGGAGTAAATTCCGATATGTAAAATGTAATATGGCATATGAGTATAAAAAGTCATATGAAGGAATTGATCGGTGTGAGAGCAAAAAAGTGTAAAAGAGAGTAGGTTCATAAATTGACTGTAAACGCTAATATGACTCGATGGTATAATTTAAAAAACGCAAAAGATTACGACGTAGGCTGTTAAATGGCGAGAAATCAAAATGTCAAGAATGCTGTGGTCGCGAAGATCACATATACTTAATTGGCGAAGTGTGAAATGGCGAATAGAAGTGGTAAAATTCGGACAGACAAAAAGAGTCTATATAAAGCGTACTTTCACTTACCATGCTGTTGACCAGATATGCTTTCAGTGCTTTTCCCATAAAACTGAAAGTTTAAAAAGACCTTATTGGCTATGAATTCGGCCATAGAATTATGTTTTATGCAATATGTTTTCGTATTAAATTTCTTCCACCATTTGATAAACGCGGATCTTTGACAAATGCAGCACCAAAGGGATTTTCGAGGAAAAAATGGTTAGAATGTTTGAATATGAAAGAACTTTTTCGTACTTCGGGATTCACAAAGCAACGTAAGGAAAAGAAATGTTGAGAAAATTTTTTTTGAAATTATAATGCGGTAAAAACGAAATTGATGGCAATGCTAAAATAATGAACTCTTGCTTTATCTCCCTCCTGTTTGTTCTTCACTTCTGATCAAACATGTGCTAGCGCTGTCGCTTTGCCTGCATAAATATAAATTAGAAATAAAGCTAAGAATGAAATAAATTGAATCGATATTTTTTCAAAATATCGCAACTGCAATGAAAGGCCATGCCTATAATGCTTTTTAAGATTTTAAGCTCGTTTTCCTAGAAGCAAGATTTTTTCGAACGGCCGGCATGACCACTTCTACAATATTCATTCTTCTCGCTGAAGTTCTTTACAATATTTAAAGACAAAATATCTGCGAAGAAATCGTCGAATTCGTTCAACAATTTTTTTCTAATAAAAGATTTTTCATCCAATCGGTCACCAATCAAACAACGCTACGTTTCTGCGCTATCCGTAAACGCTGTAGATTAAACATTAAGTAATATTAAGAGTTTTTTTTCGCAGATTCCGAATTGCATCAAAGACGGTCAACGCCATAGTTTCTTAAATGAAAAGTGTTCACAGTGTTTTCTTTATTTTTTTTTTTAATACTCACATATGCTTAGCAATTTCCACGAATATCATGATTTTACTAACTTTCCTTTTACCTTGAAAAGAATTACCAGAACAAATTATTGTACAGGTTTCTCCTAATCTAAGTAGTAAAAATGCCATAGTCGGCCACGGCCCGTCATTACGTAACCTGCATCAGTTCAGGCATTGCATACAAAGTGGTCGAAAAGCTACCCGATATCTTATAAATGGGAACCTGTAAAGATTCAAGTAAGAAACTAAAACGGACTGACGGACAGACAAGCTTTGATCAATTTAGGAAGTGACTCCGGAACGATAGACGCAATAAAAGGATCTTTCAAGTTTTTCTGTGCATTGCTTACGTTCGTACAATCGTAATATACCCTTGTGTAGGGTATAGAATGAATGAAATAAAATGTATATAATGACACCAATGATTATGTTTTAAAGTAAAAATCTTAAAATACATAGAAAAACACCTTGTTCAGATTTTGGAAGTTCACATTCGATATATGGCAGCAATCGCAAAATATGTTTTTTTCTTCGTTCACCCATTTTATCGTGCCGCTATAGCTGGCAATTTTGTATCTATTGTTTCAATCGCTTTCTCCTTTTGTTTTTGTAATTTATGTCAAAGAAAAAACTGAAAATTTTAAAGTTGTACAATAAAGAAAAAATATAAATTTCTTGAAATGCAATCAATTCGATGATCGTTTGAAAATCAAAATTATTCGCCTTCTCTTCGGCAAATTTATTGTGTCTTCTTTTTAAGTTTATTCTTTAGAATGCCCGGCACCAATGACAGACAAGCGCATATTGTTAATATACCCATTGAGGTCCAAGAGAATGCATCGCTAGTATTGCTCATCTTTTGTAATGTTTTACCCGCTTGAATAGCTATCATCGAAGGTGGCGCAACGCCGCAGAACGTGCCCAGTGTGAAAGGGTAGATTGGTACACCAATAATCGGAGCAGCTAAATTAATAAACCAATTGGGCAGAATCGGTGACATACGTACAAATAACATATAGTTGAAGAGATTGTCACGATGATTTTCAATCTGTTTAGACCACTCGCTGATCTTTTTGGGCCAAAAATATTTTATCAAACGTCTACCGATTAAACTGGATAGACAATAGCATAACGTGGCACCCAAGGTTGAGCAGAAGCAAATAAGAAACAAAGCTACCGGAAAACGATATAAAAATCCAAGCAAAATCGAAAGAAATATTGATCCCGGAATGGCAAATGTCTGCAAGAATATATACGCGGCTACCACGCCAAACATCACTTGAAAGTAATACATATCCTTATAGCGATCCAATACTTTGCCCAACATCTTTGCACCTTGTATATCACGTGGTATTTTCATGTGCTGCTTTTCCGATTCATTTAACTCGGGACATATCATGTAAATGTAGCGCATGACCGCGAAAGATATCATAAAAACGCCAGCCAATATGATTAAGGATTTTTCGATCGTCAAACTTTCGGCCGCACACGTTGGTTGCTTTCGATGTTGACGTTTCACTAACGCTCTACGTTCGGCGTCTATGTGCTGTTGTTCTTGCTCTTTTAGGTTTGCCGATATTGACATAACTGTGACGGTCGATTTTGAATTGATTTATTTTCCTTAGACAGATCCAAGCCCAGGGGCTTCACTAGAAACGATATATTCACAAAATTGCACAAAGATTGTATTTAAAAAATGTTCTAAAGCTTGTAAAAAGAAAAAATATATATGTATACATATATACATATGTTTCTTTCAGTATTGAATAATTTTATAATTCCATCAGAAATTTTTCTTTGGTATGTAGAGTACGAAAAGCGAGTTTTTATACTAAAAATTGTTTTATAAAAAAAGGCTTTGATTTTTTCTTTCTAATCGAAATATTGTTGTTAAAGGATATAACTATCGTTTCCTTTGTTCTAAAATTCAACTTTACATGTCGCAAACTGTCCAAGCACAAGAAAACAATCTGGCCAATGAATAGAAAATGAAAAAAGCAACGACCTTGAAGCGATAAATCAGCAATACTTTGAAAATATAACCAGAAATTTTTTCGAAAAATTGATTTAAAAAAATTATGCCGTCGGTATTAATTTCCTTTTTCCCTTTTATGTTGCTCGTAAATCGACGATAGATGCGAAAAGTTTTAATTGGTTAAAAAAGTCTCCCCATCATCACTAGATAACGTTATTATTATGGAGCTACTGTTCAGATGAAAATAGAAATTATCTGCAAACGTTCGTAAATGTGACTTCAAGAAGAACGTTTTCAAGCTTTTGTTTTGCTCTACCATACATGTAAGTGATGGGCGTTTCAGGTTTGGTTTAAGGATGGTTAACATTGTAAATAAACTGATCCTTTTTTACATCTTTCATAACTACTTGAGCGAAACAAGAGCAAGAAAATTTCGTAAACAAGATGTTGCTTAGCGATGTGAGGGCTTTATATATGAATTGTTTTTGGTCGTACACTTTATATTTGAAAGTAAGTCAAGCTTATCCAGGATAATAGCTTACGCAGTCCCCAGGCAGACATGGCAAGATGGCAAACAAGTCTGTCCGTTTAGGTTCATAATGGAGAAGACGAAGGCGAAAAACGTAGCCAATAAATTAATATATAAATCAATTAAAAAATTGAAGAATGAAAACTGAATGACTATAAAGTCACATGTGCAAGTGTACTTATTAAAGACTCAATATACGCTATTGCGACATGATTGCGTTTTCAAGTTACATTATATTGTACCGTGTAAGAGTCTTTATGTAAATTTTTGCAAGCCTGTATGATCAATCAATCAGTTGATTTTACCTAAACGTAGAACGTGTAGATGATTAGAGAGAAGTTAAGAAAGGAAAAGAAATGAGGAGCGGTCGCAGCTTCCTGGGCCCGTTACCAAGTTTTATCCCTTTAAGGGCTACATGAAGGGATGCTGGGCATACATATTAAACAGCAAGAGGGGTTGAATAAGTAGAAGTGAAAATATCCAGTTACGATTTATAAGGAGGAATCAAGGCAAGCAAGCAAGCAATCAGGTGGAAGGTGAGAATATATTTTACTTGTGATGAGTCTGGCTCTTTTATGAAGGTGCCTCTGAACACCGTTATACTACCTTGCAAATTTTTTCCTTCTTACAGGTAATTAATTGTTCTTCAAAATAATCGTAAGCACAGTCCGATATCGCGCAAGTACTTGATATATATTATATGCTATTAAAATAACATTTGATACATGATTTCAAAAAAAAAAAATATAGTTTTTATATATATTTTATATTGTTTTTAGATTTCTTCTCTCCGCATAAACAAATTAATGTGCTCTGTGCGTGTGTGTAGCGTGTGTGTGTATGTGTTATGTCGCCTGCATTATCTTTTTTAAATACGCTTCTTTTTCTATTCTGTTACATTACTACACGATGCAAATGTTTTCGTCCAAAGTCTAGCAGTTTTATCGTGATTCTCGCGATCCTTCAAATATTGCTTACCGATGCGGTAATCTAAAGGGTCCATGGGATTGCAATCAGCCAAGAGAGAGCATATCGATATCAGTACTTTTGCTATAGTCAACGCCGGTGACCAATTATGTCTAAGAATATCTACACAGATAGCTCCGTGACTATTGACGTTACAATGATAGATACGTGTGCGAAAAGCAACTTTGGGTGGTACAAAGGGATAATTGTGTGATAAGCGCAAGTCTAAAAAGAACGTACCGCCCTCATATACCGTATCCGCTGGTCCTAGTATAACGCAGTCCCATTCGTATAGGTTGTCATCTTTCAGGCCCGCACTATACATGGAAGATCGATCGTTAGCCATTTCGGCTAATTCTCTTTGTATGCGTCTGGCCGATCTGCTTAAAGCCCCAGAGGTTTTCTTTCTTGACTTGGAACTGCTCGCCGTTGACGTGCTAGGATATCCCGCACCAGATTCAACAAAATCAATATCGGCATTATTGACTGGAATGGAATCGGCGGAGTTGTATTCTGTAGCGGGATCTCTGCAATCGCCGACTTCGACTACGTTACTATTATTAGAATCGTCGGTGCTGTTAGTTCGAAACATTGACGACATCACAAGTGTGTAGGTAAATGTACAACAAATTTTGCAAAAATATAATTATCGTTATGTCGTCGATCGATTCAGTGATTTTTTTTAAATTTACTTTTTCTTGTTTAAGAAATAGGCAAGAAAAAAAATGGCAGTAAACTGAAGTGATTTTGTTTTTTTTTTTTTTTTCTTTTATAAAAGAGTAGTTCGTCTATACTTGGTTACTTGATTAATTGGGAAAAAGAAGTTTCTTTAGGGTATTTGCTTAAGGATTTTAATATTTGCATTGATTTCGTCTTTTGTGTTTTTCTACCAGGGCACTAATCATCAACCCAAGCCCCCGCCCCCCCTCTATAACAGGCGAAGATAAGCAGCTATTTCCTTTGAGCGTAAATAATGTAACGTGTTGAGTAGCAGTTTTGTCATCTTGCTCTTGTTTCAAAGATCATTTTTAACTTTTCAATACCGTTACCAGAATTTTATTTAAACGTTGGTAATAAAACGAAATGCTTTTGTATTATATGAACATCACATCGCACGTATCCGGAACACCATGCACACGTACTGCTTATTCTTTTTGTTGCACTTTACTCTAAATTGCACTGCCTTACGTGCAGACTACAAGTTTCTCAAGTATATATATACTACCAAAACTGATGAAAGATTTCCTTCAGTTTTGAGCCAAAATGACACCTTATTCACTTAAATTCATAATTTATATAAGAAAAAAAGAAGTAGAAGAAGAAGAAAAAAAAAAAAAAGAGAATAAAAAACATTTAAATATAAAACAAATACATATCTTGTTTGAGGTAAAATATAATATAATTTCTAAGGCTCCATTTAAAAATTATACATATTTAAATAACGTAGAGCAGGACTTTTCATGAGATTTCAATGTTTCAGAAATTTAGAATAAAATATTTTTGAAAAATGACTCTAAGACAAAAGCATTCATTTATTTTATATATATGTGAAAATAAATTTGATTAAATGTTCAATTTTTCTTTTTATGGATAAATTTCTTCATTTATTTTTTCTTCTTCGGCCTTAAAACCTAAACTCATTTTTTTTTTTTAATTTATTTTGATAAATTTCATAAAAAAAAAGAATTTGCATTTAATTTCGGTAAATGCCTAAACTATACAACTCTATGAATTTGCATAAAATGTCCATATTAGTAAAATTGGTGAGGAAACAAAATAAAAAATAAGATATAAAATAAGAAAAAAGGAAAAGGAAAAAGTTTCGATATATATATATGTGTATATATATATTCGATAACTATAACAAATTTGAAGAAAATTGAAAATTTTTTAATTCAATAATGATTTGTCAAAGTTGCATAGCCTGGCACTGCTAAGTCTACTACGTAGGCATCGAATCCAACTAAACGCCAAATGAGGTGGCGGGTGTTCAGGTGAAGAACATTGTATTCACATTGAACTTTTTCCGAATCAAAACAGTCAATGACCCATTGTTGTTTTGTGGAATTCTCGAAAAAAAGTACACCGAACATACATACATATAATGCTAAAGTTTTTCCGAGTTTGCTCACAGGTTTAGAGATTTGAAAAGCGAAACTCGGTACTCGGTAACAACTTCATGTTCAGGACTGCTGAAAAAAGCTACAAGGAACCTATATGCGTAATACTAGAGTTTTTCCGAATTTATCAAATCACAAACAAATTGCTTCGTATATGAAGCAAATCGACATCAAGTTCATTTTGACGGCCGAGGACCGTTGCTGCTTTTTTAAAACTTGCCGCAGGGCCGTTTATTGAGCTGAAACTTAACAATCTCTGATAATACGTCACAACGCAAGCTACCCAAGGAAAGGAAACGACTATAGCCGACGAAATAATTCTGCAAATAGATAATTGTGTTACCATAGGTAAGGAGGAACTCTTCCCTAGTTCCACCTCCACTATTTAATGATTGAAGAGCAGTAGCAAAAGAAGTGATATTGTCTGATTAAAAGACCTGAGCTAAGCTTTCGGATGCGATTTGCAACGAGGCTTGTAGCTGATGAAACGTCAAAGCCCTCGTAGGATTATTAAGGTCGAAAATATAAACCAACTACTATTGAGTTTCTGATTCGTAGAAGAAGAAGAAGACGACAAATTTATAGGAATTGAAAGGATAAAGAAGCAGTCCTGGAGAACTTGAAATCCTACTAGCGATATTACTATGATTGATTTCTTTTTTGCTTTATAGGTTTGTAAGTGCGGTTTAGATTCATTAAGTAATCCTTCCATCACGTTGGTTGGCTTTTCGCCCATATCTTCCTTAAGAGAACTTGAGAGATTTCTTCGCTCTAACTATGCCAGCATTCGGATCATCTGTTTTTTTGATGCTGCTTGTGACAATAAGTCTAAGAAGTCCAAATAGTTGAAGCTGTTGAAGGTTGCTATTGCTTGCTAAAACATTTATGAATACTTTGTTTCATTTTTTTTAAATTTCAAATTTTCTATTTAAAATTATTTTAAAAGTATTATTGCTTAGGGAAGTATTACATATACATATATATATATACATATATATACATATATATATATATTTTCAAATAATAGAAAAACGTCTTAGAGGTAATATAAATAATAATGAAGAAAAAAAAAAATAAAGAAGAAAAAAGAAGAGCAGCACTAAACACTAGCTTAGGGCTGCTGTAAAAAGTATATTTCAGTGAACAATTTTATTTCTTATCTATCAATCAATTTGATGAAGAAAAAGGCAAAAAGCTCTTCACCAAAGTGACGCATGCACAAATACCGACGCACACAAGCAATCAATTTTATTAGGTTTAAAGCTATTACTAGCTTTAGATTGCATTAAGAGCGACGGGGGCTTCCATTGCATGGAAAAAACGAAGGAACGATGCCACCTTATATAACAAGTTCTATCATAAAAATTTAATATGAAAATAGCTAAATACAACGAAAAAAAATAAATAAATAAATAAATAAGTAAAAAAAAAAAAAAGCGAAACGAAACAAAAGTTCAAATACATTTTAAGAGAAAAAGGAGAAGATGTACAAGTAATTTATTTATTTAAGCAAAGATATTATTCAAGAAAATTGAATTGAATTCATTTTGTATTTAAAGAATTGATCAAACACTACACGCACTACTTCTCTCGATGACGACAACATTTATGCCCCATCTTCTTGTAGGCTATTCAAATGCTATAAGACGAAGAAAGAGATTTCTAGCGCTTGCGTTTCTATTAAGGTTATTTTCCGTTAGTTCTGTCGGGAATAAAAACTTTTCGAAGTATACGTAGAGACATTTTTTATTCTACCATCACTAGAGACATATTGCTTAACAAATTGATTTTAGTAAATAGTGAATTCATTAATAATCGAAGGAGTTATGGAATACATCTTTTTTTTTTTTTTTTTTTTTTTTTAAGTAAAACAAACATTAAGAAGCGGTTCAATACCGTTTTTTTATCAAAAAAAGTGAGTGGCTCGCGATTCACAATTTCGCCATTGACACAAGTAATGCTGCTTTCAAATCTGCAAAGTGTTCATGTTTTATTGGGAAAGACCAATGATTCAATGTCACCTCAATGAATGAAAATTCAAACGGATTCTCTCTTATCATCTTTGTGGATGGATTAAATTTCCACATCTTGTTACGAGATAAACAGCACTTTGCATAATTTTGTTGAAACTGCTTTCCGTCGCGAGCAAAACCGTCTAAGTTATATCAGAATCAATGATAACGTTTCTGTCGGATGTTTCAAAGACCACAAATCATCCCAATTGCAATTAACTTTTTTTTCTGTAAAGGTATTTAAGGAACAACCTGTTGGGCTTTTCTTTACTTCAAACAAGGAGTTCAAGCGCGTTATAATAGGTCGTAATAAAAAGTCTCCGCGGTTTTTTCCACACTTTTGAGCTTCTTTTTGTAGTCTGCCCTTTTTAAATGATTCCAAATTCTCATGTCCCCGTTTCCTGACAGCTTGCGTGCCGTTGATCACTGTGAGGGCATCTTTGACCTTGTATATTCGGGAACGGAAAGCGAGCAAACCACTCCTGGGTCTTTTGTTCACTCACAGTGAAAAAGTATAAGTCTTCAGATATTTTACTCTTTTTCAAATCAATGTGGCTTTCTATGCGGGCCAAGATTTAGAAAATTATTTTCACAAAAATCGCAAGCCGAAATGTTACCTTTTAAGCACCTGCTCGATTGCGACAATCAGATGAGTGTTGCCCGATTATTCCGCGGAGAGTGCTCAATATGATCTAATATTTCACTTAAGATTATTTGATGGAATAATTTATTTCGAAAAAATTCTTTCGAAGCAAATCGCTTAGTATTCGAATTTTGATCTCATATTTTGATTTATTTGTGCAAATAATTTCGTATTAATAATAGTTCAGATGCTATTGTTGATCGACCTTCACCAAAATATGTAGACCTCTTGTTACAACTTGATTCTTCTCTAAGGCGACCTTTTTGAATATGGTTATCTTGGCAAATGACATTCGAACTGACTCTCTTCATACACTGTAACTGAATTTTTTTAAGGAAAATGCTCAATACTTGGCGATGTTTTTATATAGATTAGTTTCGCGTTTTCATAAAAATTTTAATCATGAGTTTTTGGTCTCTTTGGTCTTTAATGACTTAATATGTATACATACATATTTATATATGTATATGTGTATATGTAACTATACTTTACAGAGACTTTTCCTTTACTGTCATGAAGTTTATAAAGTTCTTCTGTTTAAAATTACAATATAAATTTCTCTATGAGCCTCAGCCTGAGCCTGTAGTGTATTTTAAAACAAAATGCAACAAAAAGTTGTTATGTCTCTTCTTATTTAAACAAACAAAGAAATATGAAACTTTTTATGCGCGCTTTTACTGTTGTATAAGTTTATATTGTAATTTCTTTCGCCCAGATTCTCGCACACGCAGACAAACATATACATTCCGATATATATTTATGTACATATCTAACATTGCGTTTATGTTATGCGTTTCTTAACATTTATAAACATCTCTCTCTAAGGCTGTGCCTGGTGAATTGTGCATTCATATATACACATAAACACACAGAAACACACACACATACATACACACATACATACACAAATGCATACATACACAAATACAGTCAAGTTTTCACTTGAATAACTCT